CTACAAGTTCTGCACGACCAACGACATAGACTACCTGTCGTTCCGAGTCTGGGTCGGCTTCTGGATCGCGTTCTACTTGTTAATTCTGGTGGCTCTGGACGCCAGTGCCTACGTCAAGTACATCACCCGCTTTACGGAAGAGAACTTCGCCACCTTGATCGCCTTCATTTTCATCATCAAGGTGAGCAGAAAGAGCACGGTGTCGTGTTGCGTGATTAGCTGTGCTCACAGCCTAATGGTGTTAGCTAATTCTGTTGTCGTTTGCATCATATCAAGGGTAATCTGTAAGTGGTGATCTGCGTTTCTTCCGTTTTTATTTGCCACGAGTCACGACTTTCAATGAATGATAGTTCCGATGATAGTATCCTCACCTGCCTTATATACTTTAGTAGTATATTCTCATGTTGTGATGACTCACGCACGCCCCCCCTCCCCCCGATCTGACCCGCCGCTGACCGGTCGTGTCGTGCCCCCAGGCGTTCGAGAAGGTGATCCACATCGGCGACCACCACGAGCCGGCCGCCCACCTGTTCATGCTCTCGGACAACTGTACGTGTCTGCCGGGCGACGACTCCCTGTACGACAACTTCACGTGGCCGGCCAACTTCACCTGGGATGGAGTTGAGCACGCCACCGACTGCCTCCTGGTCAGTATGCAGGGGTCAGGGGTAGGGGCAGGGCGAGGGCAAGGGGGGAACGGACATGCACGGTCATGTGCTTTAAAAGTGACAAAAGTGACTGGGTTACGATGACCGTGGGCCGCGTTTTACGAAAGAAGTAGGTACTTGTGTCGTGCTTTTTACATTGTCGTTTATTTTATGGGAAGAGTCAGTTGTATGACATTGTTCTAACTCCATGTCCTAAGCGTGAAGTTTCCCGCGCGATAGGTTGTGTTTTTAGCGCCATCTATTCGGGTTGTAGCTGGGCGTCACATGCGACGTCCAAAGTGCGACGTACCACATCACCATGCTGTCATTTTTATCAAATACAACCCAAAACCTGCGTCACCGGCTGCCTGTGTCGTACCATTGCTCTCCCCCCCCCCCCCGCCCCCGTTCTTCTGTCAAACTGACATCATCCCCCCCCCCCCCCCCCGACAGACATTCAACGGCACGCTGAACGGCACTGCCTGCCCGGACGAGCACGACGCGGCGCACCCGCTGCACGTGGCCGAGGAGTCGCTGCTGCACGGCTGCTCGGACGTCTTCCTCATGTCGATCCTGCTGTTCCTGCTCACCTTCCTGATCGCCATCAACCTCAAGGAGTTCAAGTCGTCGCCGTTCTTCCCCAACAAGGTGAGTCGGATGTGCCGTAGGAGGAAGTAGTGAGGCGTCAAGTCGTGAGTGGGAGTAAGTAGGACTACCTAAGTGAATAGTCTTGAGTAGGAGTCGTGATGTGTCGTGAGAGGTCGACGTGGGGAAGCGGGAGGGAAGGGGTGGGTGAGAAGGGTGAGTTCTGGTTCTTACTGGTTTGAAGTAATTGGAGTTAACAGAACGCACATTCTCACAATGCTCGATTTATGGGAATATCCTGTATATTGTATTATGTGTATGTGGAAGTGAATCACTCAGCCTCAGTCACAGGTTTTACGGTCCTGTACCGTCCCCCAATTAAGACCGTTGGATTACATCTCCTCGTCTGATGTGAGTCCTCCCGCTAACCGTCTCGCCGCCTCCCACAGGTGCGCGGCTTCATCAGCGACTTCAGCGTCATCATTGCCATCGTGTGCATGACAACGGTCGACTACCTGGCCGGCATCGACACGCCAAAGCTGAGCGTGCCGGACAAGTTCCAGCCGACGTACCCGGGCCGCGGCTGGGTGATCCCGCTGTTCAACGGCAACGCCTGGTGGACGGCGCTGGCGGCCGCATTGCCAGCCCTGCTCGGCGTCATCCTGGTGTTCATGGACCAACAGATTACGGCCGTCATCGTCAACAGGAAGGAGCACAAGCTGAAGGTGCGCAGGGGAGCGGTGTGGAGGGAGCTAGAGGGGGCTGAGGTGGTAGTTTGTGTACTGTGGCGTTGTGCGATGAATTTGGAACACCAATGGGTGTCGAGTTTAGACTGACTGGACTCAAGTTTTTGGTGTACAGCTGTGTTTGAGCTTAAATCCGGCAAAAATAGTGCGCTCATCTCATGCATAATCACACAAGGTCTACATATCTCCACCAAGCTCGTTTGCAGAGCCTTTGATTGTTGTTCTCACTATGAGACATGCTTTAGCCACCGTTCACTCACGTTACCTCGGACGAACTCAGTCCGTCGTCTTTAGCCCCGCACCCCGCGCCCTCCATCGTCTCCTGCACGGGGACCTGTCCTGTGCCGTCTGTGACCTCGGACCCGCTCTGTCGTCCACAGAAGGGCGGCGGCTACCACCTGGATCTGTTCGTGCTGGCCATCCTGGTAGTCATCCTGTCCATCCTGGGCCTGCCCTGGTTCGTGGCCGCCACTGTGCTGGCCATTAACCACGTCAACTCGCTCAAAGTGGAATCGGAGACGGCCGCGCCCGGCGAGAAGCCGCAGTTCCTTGGCGTCAGGTGAGACGGGTGAAAGGGAGAGAAGCCCCAGTTCGGTGGGTGGTTGGGAAAGGGAGAGAGAAGCCCCAGTTGGGTGGGTGGTTGGGAAAGGGAGAGAGAAGCCCCAGTTGGGTGGGTGGTTGGGAAAGGGAGAGAGAAGCCCCAGTTGGGTGGGTGGTTGGGAAAGGGAGAGAGAAGCCCCCGTTCCTCGGCGCCAGGTGAGACGGGTGAAGGTGTCAGTTGAGACAGGTGATAGTGCGACGGGACGCGCTGCAAAGGGGTTAGTGCCGATTTGAGAGGCTCGCCCGCCACCTTGTCTATGGAGTTTTCTCATGCAAATTGTTGATTTGGCTGTAACTGTACACTCTCACATCATGCTCTTACGCGGGCCTCGCGTGTATCTCACATCCATTCCCCGGACACCCGTTCCTCCGACTGACACAAGTCTCCCTCGTCTTCCGCAGGGAGAACCGCGTGACGCACATCCTCATCTTCGCCACGATCGGCCTGTCGGTGTTGATGACGCCGCTGCTGCGGATGATCCCCATGCCGGTGCTGTTCGGCGTGTTCCTCTACATGGGTGTCAGCGCGCTCAAGGGCCTCCAGTTCTTCGACCGCATTCTGATCATGTTCATGCCGGCCAAGTACCAGCCCGACTACACTTTCCTCCGTCAGGTGAGGGTCGGAGGAGAAGGAGGTGGTGGTTCGAAGTCGTTGAGCTTTTCAATTTATATAGTAAATGTCTCGTTTGGATATGGTATAATGTTAATGTCATGAGGGATGCAGTTATATGCCTTGACTGTTCCTTATCCGCCTGGTGTACAGTGTTCAGTGTTCACCTGTTTCATTCGTTCTTTCCAGTGTGCTGACTGATGGTTTTGTGTCCGTTTCAGGTTCCTCTGAAGCGCGTTCACCTCTTCACGTTCATCCAGCTCATGTGTCTGGTGGTGCTCTGGGTCATTAAATCCATCTTCGAAACCTCCATTCTGTTCCCGCTTATGGTAAGCGGCGGCGGCACGTTTGTGTTCTAGTGGGTGTTCGGAAACTGCGACATCTTTTCACGTATGTTCTAATAGTGTTAACTTCGCTTAGAGAACGAGCCTCTTCAATCGATCATTCTGCTCAAATGCAGAATTACTAGAAGATATTCCTGCTAGCACGGTAAATGCAACTTGGAGTCCTTCGTTTCTTACATGAGAACTGTCTATGCCGTCCCACTGTGCCCTTCCACCGCGTGGAGCAGCACTAACCGTCCCCGTCCTTCCCCCTACCGCTCAGCTGGTGGTGATGATCGGTATCCGTAAACTGCTGGAGAAGATCTTCAGTCCGGGCGAGCTGCGCGTGCTGGATGACGTGCTGCCAGAGTTCAGCCGCAAGAAGAAGCAGGAGGAGCACGACATGCTGGAGGAGGAGGTACGTGGACGAACGGAGGAGAGGGGAGAGAAATGAGGGTAGGAGAGAGGGAGGGATGGAGAGGGGTAGAGGGAGGAGGGTAGGAGGTAGTTGAAGGGGTGGTGGAGTGACGGAAGGGGAGAGGGAGGAGGTAGGAGAAGGGTTGAGTGGGTTGACATGAGGTCTAAGTACCGTGGGCGGTAAGTGATGGCGTTGTGGTGTGATTGACACTTCAATGATGTTGAATAGGTCAGATTACGGTTGATTCAGTTGTCTTGTCAGATTTTAGGACGTTAGACTTGTCGAACGGTTGTCTGTCCCCGCGTGTTTGTTACAGTGGCGTATATGAAGCGTAGTGTGCTTCCTGTTGTTTGGACTCAACCGCAAGGTCCAATTGTAGCGCTAACACCCGCGGACTGAAAATGCAATCGCAGAGAATGATCATAATGCAATAATTTACCGTTTCAATCACACCCATTAAAGTAACCCCCGACAGTCCGTAGATACAGCTCTCCAGTTTTATGACGCCCCCTCAGCCCGCCGCTGCCGTGTGTAGGTCCCGGTGGACAGTCTTATCGGCCGTGTCGCGCCGTTCGCGAACAAAACGGTGGGCGCCGCGCGTTGCATACTGTCCGCGCGGCCCGCCTAAGTGGCTAAGTGGCGTCCGGTGTCGGCGAGCTGTTACCCGAGCTGCGCCCGCCCGGCCACGGCGCCTCCGCCGTGCAGGCCGCGCCATTGTTCGTCTCTGGCGCCATTGTTTGTCTGCGCCCAGTTGTCGCCGGTTTTTGCCGGGCGTCGACGCCCGGATCTGGACAGCCGTCTTGTAGGATGTGGTAGTGATCAGGCGCGGAGCGAGAAATCGTAAACGGGGGGCAACGCGGTAATAGAATCATCCGCCTACGCGTCCCCTCACATGCTACGGTCGTATATTCCTTAGAGAAGACCTTATTTCTTAATTTTCAAATTTCCCATTGTTTTGTCCTCCTAGAGATCCTCCTGAGCGCGCCTCTGACGGTGGGTGTCGTTTAGGTGCGCGTGCGGGTGCCGTCGATTTGTCCGCGGGGGGCTGTAATGGGTCTGGTGCCAGCTTACCGGTACTTAGCGTCCGGGTTGTTGCGCCGAGTTAAGTCGGCGGTCCGCCGGGCCGGATGGATGGCCCGGCTGAGTGCAGTGTCACCGCGCCTCTCGGGGGTCGGGCGGACGATGGATGACGGCAGGGCCGCGACACCGGGGCTCTCAGCGGACAGGGACGGAGGGTGCCGGAGACGGGGCAGCGGGCTGCTGGCCGGCCGGTAGACGGCCACGCCGCGGTGGTGGCACTGAAAAGGACGGGGGCGTTGGTTAGACGAGTATTGTTCACTGGTTTAAAAAGACAACTGCGTTTTCTACAGTATCAGTTTTCTCAGCTGTTTTAGGTTGTGTCGACGCCAACTAACTTATGGGTGGCTCATGGCTATGACTAACCAACTTCCTTCGTTTGATGCTGATATAATCATGCTCAACTTTTCAACAAGGCGTCAGTCAACCTCTGATACGCAGACTGTTTTGTGTGTACTTCGCTGTTAACCCGTTCCGTGCCTTATTGCGATGTATTTTATTCGGCGAGTCCCCGCTGATTTTCCCCACCGCGGCGCCCATGGCGGGGTGTGTGCCGTCGCCGATATTTTGTGTGCTCGTACGGCCGTCGGGCTCGCCCACTAACCCCGGCCGCCTCCTCTCCGCAGAAGGCGCTGATGGGAGCGACGGTCGGTGTCGGTGTAGGGGTCGGGGTCGGGGTAGGTCGACAGTCCGCGACACAGCGCTGTCCGTGACGCCTCCTCTGCCTGATCACGTGTGCTGTGTGTGTGGTGTCCTCCACTATGACGTACTCGTGACTGACGTCCGCATGTGGCTTGGTACTCGGCATGGCGCATGACGTTTGGATTTGTCTGGAGAGTGACTGGATAAGGTGGGCTGCTGTGTTTGTGAATGGGTAGGTAGTTAGTCACGCTTGCGGAAAGACGCTTAAACTCGTCCATTGCATGGTCGCTGCGGCAAGTTCCAGCAGGAGTTAGAGCCACTTTCTACTGCATGTAGTTTTTCTATACATCTTGACCTGTAGTTAATGATAAAAAAAATCAACGGCATGTCCCGGTCTTGAAACGATTTCTACTTACTGCTGTCACTTTTTCGTTGGGGATGTCTATGAATCTCAATCATACTTGATAGTCTTCTTTTTGCATTCTGCACCACTTTGGTACCCTGAATGCGAAGCTTTAGCGGTCTTGTTCGTATTTGCTTTGCATTTCCGTGGATGTATGACGAAAGCCGACTATCTGCGGCACGACGTTCCGGCTCTCCGCTGAGCTTCGGATATGACGACGTTCTGTACAGAGATCACAGCCCGTCTCTCCGTTGTTTTGTCCGGACTGCCTGAACAATACTGTATTTCGTCTCCGCACATCGGTTCCGTACCGTTCTCACAGCACAGTCTCTGTCTGCCAGTGGCCGTCCGTCTCTGGTCAGCGATCTTCGTTTGTCCCTCGTCCAAAATTGTCGTTTGTCTCTTGTTCACGACTCTTGTCTGTGTTCAATGCAGCTCATTCATTTCGCTTGGTACAATTATAAACGTACAAACGGAAACTGATGCAATTTCGAGAAAATATATTCCTGCCCGGGGCCGGGATGATTGGGCCGTTAGGCCCGAGGTGATTTTGCTAAAAAAGCGAGGTGACATTTATTGAATTCCCGGCCTTAGGGCTGGAAGGTGTTTCCCATACCTGCCAAAAAGCTCACAACTATATGATAGTGACGTCAGCAGCCGTGTGGTTCAACGTGTTTAACCACACCCCTTGAACCACACGGCTTGTAATATTAAAGCATTGCATTAAACTTTGTTAAGTGTGGCACAGTGCACGTGCCGTTTAAATGCCTGGATGTCTCGATTTAATCATGCAATGTAGCAGGTATGGGAAACGCTTGTACTTGATCCTCTAATTTCGCATTATTTGCACTGAACAGATAATTTATATCTTACCTACCACTCAATCATCATCAAAACCTCCAAAGTGAGCTCTTGACATTACCAGTGGTCAAGTTCGCCAACTCAGCCCTCGCCCTCACCTCTGTCCTTCCTTCCGCTACCGTTACTGACTCTCCCGCCGCCTCCCTCCAACAGCAGGAGGTCGGTAAGCTGCCCATCAACGAGTCGGGCAATCTGGAGATCCCGCTGGCGAGCGGTAACGTGATGCGCATCCCGCTCGACTCGTGCAACATCTCCGAGGAGCTGAACCGCTCCGGCGTGTGGAAGGGCATCAACAAGGAGAACCAGCAGGGCCGCCGCGACGACGACGACCGCCGAGAGGACCGCAAACACCGCGGGTGAGCGCGCGAGCAGAGGGTTGACGGACGGGGCGGGTCGACCGTGGGTGTGGGTTTGGACTGGTGGTGTTGAAAGTACCTGAGTCGCATTTTAGCCTAGCAGTGCGTCGTGAATGGTTGTAGAGTCGATTCAGCAGCAGAGTCGATTGTAACTGGGGAATAACTATCACTGAAGTTAATGCGCGTTTAGCGTTTAGCATTGATGATTGAACGATCCGCCTAACCTCACAACAATTCAAGCACTGTAGTCTTTTACCTTCCCCGACAGTCATTGACGCTACCTATATGATAGTAGTTGGGTCCCCACTCCTACCAGGTTATCCCTCCGATATCACTGACGCCCCTCTGCTCGTCCGCAGTCACCGGCGTCACAAGAGCAGCAAGCGGGAGGCGCCGGCGGACGACTCGAACGCCACGCGGCTCACCACTATGCCCGAGGAGGCCGAGGAGGAGGAGGACGCCGGCATCACCATCAAGGTTGGAGGCAACCACCATCCAGAAGGTCAGACCGAACACTCTCTCCACCCTGCTCTCTCTCGCTCTCGCTCTCGCTCTCGCTCGCCGGCGCCGCACCGCCGCTGGCTGCTTCGCTCTGGTTCTGGTCTCTCCCCCTCTCTCTCTCTCTCCCCGGTGTGGCCCCCGCTCTCCCTTCTGGCGCTCTCTCTGTCCCTCTCTCGAGTGGCTGTGTCGCTTGGTCTGGGGTCGGCGGCGCGGAGGCGCTACGAGGGGGCGCTTAACCCGCGCCGGGCCGGTGCTCTGAGATTCCGCGCCGGGCCGGGGGGGGGTGTCTGAACACCCCCCCTTCTAACTCGGCTCCTGGGCCACGTAGCGACACGCGGTAAGCGGCAATCGAAAGAACGTCCAAAATAAGGACGAAAACACTTCGGTCATTTTTTGGGTCAGGTCAAAGGTCAGGTCACCAGAGGTCACCAAAGGTCAAATGTCCACTATTTCAACATTTTGGAAACTGCCAACGGCTATCTCGGGAACCGATAGAGCTACAGCGCCGCGGAAAAGCGCATTCGATAGCCCTTTTACAGACCTTTCTGAGTATTGTTCTCAGATTTGACCTCAGGTCAACGGTTTAGCCTCCAGGGGGCAAAAACTCCAAAAATAGCCGTTTTTACGAAAAACGTTTTTTCGGCAATAACTTTTGACTCAAAAGAGTCATGACATTACTTTTGCCACCATCGTGTTCCTCTCGTCGAGACGCGTCGAATGAACTATAATTTGACCTTGAAAGGTCAACTTGAAAATTTGACCTCAGGTCAAGGTCATGACCTGACCGGAAAAGGTCATGTTGCATATCAGTCGATCCGCAACGTCGAGCCGAACACATCTAAGGCGTTTTCAGCGCTCTAGCACGTCTCTATCAGAAGTTATTAGCGAAAAACTGTTAGATTCTGTTCGTGACCTGAGATGACCTCGGGGACATAACGAGGGGTCACAGTTGCCATTTTCCGGTTCAGTGTGTCCATTTTACCTACATCTCGATGTTTGAGAGTGTCTAGAATAACGTTCGTGCAAAACAGACGCTTTTCAATTTTCTCCCATTGACTTATAATGGAGAGGTCGCAAAATTGACCTGACCTTAGGTCACCGATATCAAAATTCCGAGATATACATTTTATAGATATTGTTGCTCTAATCAATCGCTGAAAGTTTCAAGGCAACCGATCAATCGGTGTAGCTATGACGAGCATTCTTATTTTTTCTGAGGTGAGGTCACTTGGCGTGACCTGGTGACCTGACCTAAGGTGACCTGGGTCTGAAATTTTTACAACATGTGCGGAAAAGATGCACGAACAGGTGTGCCAAAAACGGCGGCGCTCCGCGCCGCCGTTTTTGAGATATCTGCGAAAAACCGCAGGGGGGGGTGTTCAAACACCCCCCCCCGGCCCGGCGCGGGTTAAGATGCGCGGACTAACGGCTTTCGGGTACTAACGTGGGTGCTGGTGAACAGGCCGCTTGTGGTTTTCGTCACTTACGGCTAGACTTGTACATATTCCAGATTTCTGATAAAAAACGTACGCGCTCAATAGCTATTGAAAGGCATTCAGTCATTAAGTAACTACAAAAAGTAGAAAAAGTGATTTCTTTCGTTCTTTTCTGCAGATCATGTTGCGAAATGCTGATCAGTCTCCATTTTGGACCGTCATCCATGAACGTACGCTTGTCAAATATGCGCAAAAGCTGGCAGTTTTGGCGCCCCTTCTCTCACGGATTTTCTGAATTGTGTAGATAGAGCGGAAATGGCGTTTGTTTTTATACGCTGGATGTGATGGGTGCCTGGCTTTGACTGTTGGTGATGGCAGCTTTTCATGGTGCCGGCTAAACGCAACACGTGTTTGTTTTTCTTGACGTCCTGTGTTGTAATCACCCCTGGCATGATGATTGGTTAGCCTGCATTTGCCATGCTGAAATCACACTGGAAAAGGCTAAGAAAATCCTTGGTTCAATGAATGGACGTTGCATACTTAAGCCGGCAATGTATGTTTAGGATGATTTGACGCACAGTTATCTTTTATCTTCGGTTAGAATCCTGGTCAGGCATATAAAATTAATGCTTAACTATGTCTGCGTTTAAAAGCATAAATGTCGTACATTTTATTGGCCTAAAAAACTGCTAGACCCATTGTGCCTTGCAATTTCTACTTCCTTCAGTTTCAACTTCGTCTTAACTGATATTCTGATTATCTGATATTCATTCTGAGCCATTTTGATATTTAGGTGACTTAAATCGATTGCAAAATCATAAAATTTGTTCGGCCGGAACCTTTGTTGTGCCCATCACTAAAACATACTTGTAAAAGGCGCTGATCTATTAGTTTTTGACGTGTTATTATCAAGGAGCTAAAAATTTGTATTCGAATGTGCCGCCAGCACCGGACATCCAGCGACGTTGAAAGGCCCATACAAAATTATAGCGCAAAACGGAGGCAAAAAGCATCTTTACGAATACCTACATTAGAGAGTGTTGCTTCGATAGGTGCGTGCCTAAGAGGCCATAGACAGGGAGCTACTCTCGAGACACGTTCAATGCCATCTGCGGCCCCAGACCAAGGGACTCTGTTGGAGAGAGAAGGACAGAGAGCTGGTAAGAGGAGAGAAAAACAGAGAGAGGGAGGAGAGTCTCAGACGCGGCGCCGGAGCGATGTCAGAAGGAGACCTCGAGAGGCGGAGGAGAGTCTGTTCGGCCTGATCACGACGCGCCGGTTATCTGCAGCGAGCTCGCCCGGCCAGTAGACTGACACAGAACGGAGCCGTTCTTCTCAGAGATGATAAACTCACTTCAGTGAGGTGTTTCTTATAAATAAAACACAAAAGGGTGGAGTTCACGTGCTTGAACAAATTCAGGTCATTACCGGGCGTCGGCTGCAGATCACCAGCGCATCAGACTGTATTATTTAACGATAGTCCGTGTTATAAGTCGGTTATTTCCCCACTGGCCTTCCCTCCATTGCCTGCCTTTGTAAGTGTCGAGTGAGGATGGGGTTGACCTCTCACCTCTCGGTTATCAGTCAGTGCTTGTAGGCGACTAACCACGGCCTCGGGGGCGAACAGTGAACGGGCATGTCCATTCTTCCTTGTTCTCTCGTATGCTTTGTGCGTGTGGTGTTGGTTTGGACACTTGTGGTGCTTGCCTAATCATTAACCACTAGGACACCGTCCAAAGTAGCATACAGCGCGTGTGCCGGACGTTCAATTGTTTGCGTCAGTTCTCTACTGCCATGACAAAACGTTGGCCCAAATCGGCCTGGTGCACTGAGCCCTCGGGTTTGATTGCAGCACAGAAGAGCTCTGTTGCGAAGAGTGAGTAGTGTCTAAGATCAGCTGCCTGTTTCTGACGTCTGTCACTGCCCTAAGCTCAGTGACGCCCTTGCTTATGCAGGCGATCAGATTAAATTGCATAGGCTGATGTGCTTCCTGAGGCGGTCCATTTCGTTTCCAGTTTTGTGCTGCCCGTTGATGCACTTTTCGTCTCTAGTCTATAGATATTGTCGAGTTTAATCATAAATGCATCTTTAAAAAAGCAGAGGCGCACGCATGTTTCTAGATTCGGGATCTTTTTTTTTCTGTGTGTGTGTGTGTGGGGGGGGGGGGGGGGGGATTCCGATACTAATACTGCCGTACTAGCAATGTGCATGGCTTCTGGTTGCGGAAATAATCATAGTTAGCGATCATTCTGATCATATTGTACGTTTGTTGACGGATTCGCTTAATTTCAATAAGGGAATTTCGGCACTTTTTAGACGTACACTTCAAATATTTTTCATTCGTGACCAACCTAAAGCAGAAGGGCTTGTTTCACTGCCTGGCTGCTGCACAAATGTTCTTAGAAGTATCAGAATAGTTTATCAGTGTATGCTGAAAACTACCTAGCATATGACCACATGCTATTTGCCTAGCGTTTTGACTTTTGTTGTTTGTGACCTAACTGTCTGG